ACCACAGAGCCGGCACGCCTGATCAGTTTGTCCAGTCTGGACGTGTCCTTCTTGGATGTGCTGCCTCCCCAGCACACCACGGTGTAGAAGAGGACACTGGCGATCACTGACTGGTAGAACATCCACAGCAGTTTGCTGCAGATGTTGAAGGACCGCAGTCTCCTCAGGAAGTACATCCTGCTCTGCACCTTCCCGTACAGGTGGCTGGTGTGTTTTGACCAATCCAGTTTACTGTCCAGCCACAGCCCGAGGTACTACTGTAGGAGCCCACGACCTCAACCTCCGTTCCCTCTAGTACGACTGGTCTCGGCATTGGTCTGGACCTCCCAAAGTCTATAACCAGCTCCTTCGTCTTAGAGGTGTTGAGTTCCAGGTGGTTTGTGTGGCACCAGAGAGCAAAGTCCCTCACCAGACAGCGATATTCCTCCTCTCCGTCGTCCCTGATACATCCGACTATGGCTGTGTCATCAGCATACTTCTGTATGTGACACAGCTCCGAGTTGTAGTGGAAGTCAGAGGAGTACAAGGTGAAGAGAAGAGGGGCCAGCACTGTGCCCTGAGGGGCTCCTGTGCTGCTGACCACATTGTCAGACACGGTGTCCTTTAGCCTGACATACTGCGGCCTGTTGGTGAGGTAACTATGGATCCAGGTGACCAGGTGCTGGTCCACTCCCATGCTATTTAGTTTGTCCTGGAGCAGAAGGGGCTGGATTGTATTAAAGGCACTGGAGAAGTCCAAGAAAAGGATCCTCACTGTGCCGCTGCCCTTATCCAGGTGGGAGTGGGCCCGGTGCAGCAGGTAGAGGATGGCATCCTCCACACCAACATCTGCCTGGTAGGCGAATTGCAGGAGGTCCTGAGCATGTTCCACCTGAGGTCTGAGGAGGCCGAGGAAGAGCCGCTCCAACGTCTTCATCAGGTGTGAAGTGAGTGCCACGGGCCGAAAGTCATTCAGCTCGCTGGGCCTGTTCTTCTTGGGCACTGGGACGATGCAGGATGTCTTCCAGAGGGTGGGCACTTCCCTTAGCTGCAGGCTGAGGTTGAAGATCCGCTGTAGTGGCTCTCCCAGTTCAGCAGCGCAGGTCTTCAGCAGCCTTGGACACACCTGGTCCGGCCCTGCTGCTTTCCTGGGCTTGAGCTTCCTCAGCTGTTCTCTGACCTGGTCTGTGGTGATGTGGGGTGGAGGTTGTGCTGAGGTGTGTGGGGGGGTTGTCAGTGTTTTGTTGTCTGTGGGGAGGTGTGTGGTAAGGAGCAGAGGTGGCTGCAGTGAGAGAGGGGGTACAGACTCGTTGAACCTGTTGAAGAAGTTGTTCAGTTTGTTTGCCCTCTCCATTGTTCCCCCAACGACTCTGGTCTTTGTGTTGAGGCCAGTGATGGTCCTCACACCTTCCCAGACCTCCCTCATGTTGTTCTCTCTCAGCTTCTGCTCCACCTTTCTCCTGTAGCTGTCTTTTGCTTCCCTCACACACTGCTTCACCTCCTGCTGTGCTGCCTTCATGGCCTCCCTGTCTCCTCTCCTGAAGGCAACCTTCTTCTTGTTGAGGACAGTTTTTGACTTCCCGCGTTACCCAAGGCTTGTTATTAGGGTAACAGCGGACAGTCTTAGCAGGGGATACCACATCTGCGCAGAAGTTCAGATAGTCCGTCAGGCAGTGTGTCAGCCCTCTATGTCCTCGCCATGCGGGCTGAACAGTGCATCCCAGTCCGTGGTGTTATAACAGTCTCTCAGAGCACTCTCCATCTCAGGGGACCACCTCCTGATGGAGCGAGCTGTTGTAGGCTGCTTTTGGACCAGGGGGGTGTACAGTGGCTGTAGGTGAACGATGTTGTGATCTGACTTCCCTAGTGGGGGGAGGGGTGTTGCTCTGTATGCATCCCTCACATTGGCATACAGGAGGTCGATTGTCCTGTTATTCCTGGTGGGGCAGTCAACAGCTTGGTGGAAAGTGGCCAAAGTAGAGTCCAAGGTCACATGCTGTTGTATTATTTTGTAAATTTGTCCTTACTCTACAGTCTGTTATTCTTATGTTTACCTTGTGCGAATCAGCACTCTCACATTTTACTTTGACTTGCTGCTTTTCACAAGAGTTACTTGACTGTGGGACAATAAGGGATATTTCTATTCTCGCCCCGTTTCATCATTGCTATCAACATCATTGTTCATTTAGATTTCATGGGCTGCAATAACCAACTCATGCTCTGTTATCTTGCTATCTGTCATCTTCCTGCACAGAGTACAGTATGGTGCCGCTGCAGCAGTGGGCTGTCATCAGAACTATTAGAAAGGGAGGGAATAGGCTGGTTTAAATACAGTGCGGGAAACTGGGCACCAGGCCACTCCCATTTTCTTTTAAAAGCACATCCGGACGCGAGGGAGCGCTAGCAAACAATGTGCCTTTGGTTTCTGAATGTAAAACACGGTAAAATGTTAGATTATTTGGGTTTTACACTGGTATATTACCCGAATACAACGCACTTGAATCCCAGTGAGTGATGAGGGGAAAAGCTCTATGGCTGCTCGGCTTCACTGAGACGCTCTATGCGGTCCCTAAATAATCGCTCGAAAGCGAACAAAACATGACCATAACATTAACAAAAAATGAGGAAGAGAAAAATAAAATAGCTGAACTAACTTAGAATCCGCAATTTACCTTAGTTTCTTTTACCGTTTTCTTTTTGAAAGAGCAAACAAAACCACCAGATTTATTCACTTCAAACAAGACAAACAGGAAAATGGGCAGTCTTATGTTAGCATACGTGAAAATAGATGAAAAGCAGCAAACTATTCAGCTAGCAAATTTAACCGTTGGTAGTGAGAGTTACAGTTTCAGCACAAATACACAAGATAACTTCTTCCCAATCTATTTTAGAGCCTACAGCAAACCACGTTACAAATAAAATACTTTTTTTTCAGCCATTTTTACAACCACATTACATATGAAAAAAGAACAATGGAAAAAGATTAATAACAGAATTTGACAAAGCCTAAACAAGATGTGCGGCCTTTTAGTGGTTCTGCATAAAGGGACAACACAGGACTTAGCAACTGAATAGAGATGCAAATGAGTACGAAATTAACAAAATGTCGAAAGTTAACAGAAGTGGCAAAACAAGATTTACCTGTGTGATCGTCCAAACTAGAAATCCGGAAATTTCTTCTTTCACAGGGTTTATGCGACCAACTCTACTTCTGTTGGAGATTGATCAATGAGTTATTCTTCAACACTTTGTTAACCCGCCTGCTCTAGGAGTTCCCCATGCTGATTGGCTGCTTCTTTCACACTGTTCAGATTTGATTGGTTAATAGAGCTGTCAATCTGGAGAGGGACTGGAGCTTAGTGTCAGCGCGCGAAACGACATTCTCGTGGGTGCAGTTCTTCTTTGGGACTTTATCGCGAGAGAAAGTCCTCCGCAGACTAAACATATGGTGGTCTGGTAAACAACTTTGATTGTAGATGTATATCTTATCCAAAGTACGGTATGTCTGCTTTATAGGGTTTTCAAGAAATCCCAGCTATCGTTTTTTTATTTGCTTGCAGAAAAACATAAGACTTATTCGATGTAATTAATTAAGTGTAATTATAATTATATCAAAAACAAATATCATTAGCCCCCAACTATTATGTTTGTCTTTGTGACTTGTTTGTTGTACTGAAACCTGACAAGTGGTAGATAGTGCCTGTCAATATGGGGGTGATGAGGTAGGACCCTGGCAGCACAGGAAGGAAATGAAAAGAAAATGGTCGAACATGTTGGATCTCATGCAGTGAGTCATTGTACCTTTCATCACAGATGATAGCCACATTCTAACAGATATGTATGCATCATAAATGTACAAAATTATTAATGAAACAGGTCTGAAATGAGATGTTAGCCATAGCCTATATAAAATACACCATATGTAGGAGAGGTTGATGTCAGAGCAACAGCAGACATCCAACAATTTAATGAGAGAAAGAAAAATCTGACATTATCATTGATTGCAATACAATGACTCAATACTATCCAGCATTCTGGATTGAAAACAAAATAATGGAAGGTTAGAATAATAACTACTGGTACATTTTAAAACTCTGGCTATTTTAAACATCCACCAGTTTCTTTTGTAATACTGCTCTTCTTTAAGATGAAAACTGTTATAAACTTCAACCATCAATGTGCAATATATGAATATATACAATATTTATATTTATTTGCAATTCAAATAAATATAAATATTTATTTTATAAAACGAAAATGTATTTTCAGTTATATTTTATAAAACGAAAATTCCCTATAATTAGGAAAGCATTTTGCAATATCTTGTTTTATCCCTGCACAAACTGATAAGTAAAGCAAAATGAGAGAAATGTAAATAATTAAAAGTATGGATAAATATATTCCTTGCAATTATCCTATTTATATTTGCAAAGTTTCCCCAAACTGGACTAAACAAAACAAGAAATTAATAAACACTTTGATAAGAATGATGGACATGAGTTGTGTAAATATATGAGGGGCCCCTTGTATAAAAACCCTGATATTCACAAAGGCATTGGATTTAGGTTGGAACAATAGAGCAGTTCCGAGAGAGTAGTGTGGTTTCTAAGAGCACTTCTTGTGTGTCTTAAAATAAATATTCTTACATTGATACTAACAGAAAATATCTACCTTTCTCTAAAATGAACAAAGAACCACATTGGACACTTGACATCTTGACCTTTTACTGCACAAAAAAATCTTTATTTACTTCTTGAGTTTAAATATATGTAATGTTAACCTCTAAATATTAATGTTTTTCAAGATTTCATTAAATTCCTGCAGTGTCTTGGTTCAATTGCTGAAGGATTTCAGTTAATGAATAATATCAAAAGACTTACAAAATTAGCCTTCCTGAGTTAATCACTCTAAAAAGCTACATTACAGAACAATGTTTTTTTTTTATTTTTTTATCTATTTATTTATTTTCATCTACATGGACAGAAATAAACAGGCCTTTTATTCCAACCCTAAAGGAAAATAATCACGGTTTTTGGTACAGTTCCATCCAATATGAAAAATTAGGAAACTCAGAGATGCATCTCAGCTGTACGGCATCTCTGGTGTGCTTGATCCAGGACAAAGTTGCTTGGGATGTGCTGAACAACACTCCGAGCTCAGTGAGGACGACAGGAAGTGAACGCGGCAGGCTAAGTCATCCAGGAAATCTTTTTGTAGTTTTGCTATTGCTTGAGATAGAACAACTGGCAGCGATTGCACTCTGACAAGAATGGAGTCCAGTTTCTCTTCCAGAGCCACGATCCTCCTGTCCAGCTCTGCAGTTCGATGCTGCAGGTCTAACACCAGATCGTACATCATGTTCTGAGTCTGAAACACAGCAAAGAGATTGTACAGAAGTCTGGAAATATTTTGATATTTTTCCAGACTGTATCTATGCTTTGTCAGCATAGATACAGTCAGTCGCGAATGCTTTTCAGTAAACTATGCAGATAAAAAAAACAAGTTTTAGTGAGAGCTAAAACTTAGAATTCTTCAAAAACCTTGTGTCTTCCTGTATTATGTTAGGTGTATTTGTTATTTGGTCATTTGAGCATTATGTCTTTAGAACCTCAATGGATCTCCACTAAAGTTAAAAATAAAATGCAATATGCCAATTGTGTCCAACATTTTAGCAATATATTTTATAAAGTCAGCTAAACATGGACCCTCAGAGCAACAAACAGATGTCCCAATACTTGTATTGTCCCAATATAAGTAAATATGTATTTCACTCATCAAAAACAGCAGTTTGATCATAGTTTTCTGGTGTATTTCTCCACCAGAAAACTAGTAATTCAGAAGAGATTACACAAACCTTTGCAAGATCTGCAACAGTATTTGCCTGGTCAGTTAGTTTCCTTTGCTCCATTTTGAGTCTTCTCAGTCTGAATTAAGAAAATAACATTAATTTTTCTTAAATAGATTTAAGATTGTGTACAGTTTATCTTGACATACTTTATAATTAAAAAGTACCTAGTTATACTTCAAGAGGGAAACAAAAAAAAAAAACTAATTTAATCAAAGAATGATACCTACTGGTGGATGGCCTGCAGAAATTTCCGCTGATGCTGCCGCACACGGGCGTGGTCAATCTTTTTGACCAGCTTTGTGTTTTTGTAGATGAGCCAAGTCTCCCTTAAAACATTTGCTGCTGTGTTTTTTATCTGAGAAGAACAAGAAAGCACTGCAGGAGTTTTAAAATGGCAGAGATTGTCTTTTTATGACTGGCACTTTGTAGGTGTCATCTAGTTTGATAAATATGTTCATTTCAAAATGGAAATCCAAAGTGAAAAACTGACAATATTTATGACGGAAAAAGATTTTTCTTCAAAAAATAAGCAGTATTGTGTGCAAACAGACCTTTTTGTAAAGTTGAGTATCCATCATAAAATTATGGACATGTTTTTCAGCTCTTGTGAGCTCTGACTTCCTTGCAACAACAGCCACCACCAAAGCTGTACAACCTGCCCCCTGTGGAGAGGAAGAGCTGCGGTTGGCATCACAACAGATTCATTCAGTTGTAACCAAAGATTAATTTCGATATTAATTTCAGTACCCATTAATTTCAGTACCCAAAATGTATTCATTCTCACCATAATTCCTGTCAAGAGGCAAACTCCTTTCCCACAGTAGGTGTGAGGGACCATGTCTCCATAACCAATGGACAGGAACGTGATGGAGATCAGCCACATCGCTCCCAGGAAGGTGCTTGTTACTTCTTGCGCATCATGATACCTACTGAGCCAGAACAGCAGGGGCTGTAGTAGCATTTAGTGTTATAGCTAACACTATAACACTGCACCATAGATCACCATAGACCTGGGTGCCATATGTATTGGAATAGTTAAATTTTCAGGGTGGAAGCATTATTCAACAAGAAGCTCTGTTGTTCAAACTGAATGTTTGAGTTTCAGAAAGCTTATGAGATGATTTAAAGTAGCCAGTTTCATGCCACGGACCCAGAATAAGCATGTCTCCCAAAAGTGTTTGGATCACTGTCAAGTTTTAATCATTTGATCCAAAGTATAACCATCAGAAGGAAAGAAATTGGTTAGGATGATTGGGAAGAACCTAGCCAAGGCTCAAGAAGAAACATCTGTATCACTTTTCACAGAGAACCTGGTTTTGCATCTCAAATTGGAAACTATGGACAAACCTGTAGAAAATTTCTATACTCAGGTGAGAGTATAGAAATACTCTTTGGTCATAAATATATGAAGTATGTTGTGGGTAAGCCAATGTGAGGCTTTGGAACCTTCAAACACTCTGATGGTAGCATCATGCTGTAGCATCAAAATGGATGCAACAGCATCCATTTTGATCCATTTTGAATAATTAAGATGGGAACAACCTCTTCAACTTTGAGTCAAATATACTGATGAAACGTCAACATATCTGGTTGTTAGTCTAAAGTTAGTATTTGAAAACATAAGAGCAAAGCTTAAAAGCCAGGTCTGTGCCAAAAAACCAAACAATTTAAATTATTTTACTGCTGATTAGAAAGGTCGTCAAACTAACAGTCCGATACACACAATTTCTGTTAGACTATAAATTATAACAACTCTAAGATGATACCTCTCACATACACGCACTGTCCACGCTGCAATGATCCAGCAGGAGACACTGAAGACCAGCAGGACAGTCCCGGGGCAGATGGTCATCAGAGTCTTCATCACAAAACGAGTGTCGAAATTAATCTTATTGAGGGCCCCAATGCTGCGTGAGGAGGCATCTGTGAACAGCTTGCTGTGCAGCAGCATGACACGTCCGATCAGGTACAGACGCAGGAACATCGGGACAGAAAGAAGGATGTCTACATCGGCATCTGCTACAGCTGCTGTGTAATTGAAGGCCAAGCGGGCAGTCCAGGTGAACACATACTGGCCTGGGATTGGATGGATGGCACAGATGAGGAGCTCCAACATAATGAACAGGATCCTCTCAAAGGTCATTGCTATCCTCCAGTCATCTGCTCCATTGTCGACCATGAACAACTATTACAAATTAACAAAATTAATTTAAAAAAAAATCCTCAATTATAAGATTAATTCAGTGAAAGTTAATCTAATCTATTTTACTTGATCCAAAAGTACTGGTGGATTAAAATCAGTTTATACTTAACACTAAACCACGGGACGATTATTTATTTAAAAAAAGCATATTAAGCCATCAAAATATAGGTATATGGAATAGTTATATTGTTTTGTTTGTTTCTTTTGAAGCAGATTAAATTATGAAAAGCAGATTAGCCCAATGTTCAAAATGACACTGTATTCTTTTTCCATCCCAACAAGCTGACGCAGGTTGTCTTAACATTTCCAGAAATTTAGAGATTATTGATTTTAAATTCAAAATAAATTTGGAGCCCAACTGTTTTGTAATCACAGCCAATTTTCAACCATATTATATTATATATTGCATATATTATTATATGTTTGAACATGCTTATTTAAACAAAACCTTCTTTATGTTTGAAAAAAGAATGTTATTCAAACATTATGCCTATAATTTTGCAGAAAGTAAGGATAAAATGTGTGAATATGGGGAACATAAACCATGATTTAATATTTGTATGTATTTTTCCTTAATAAATGCCCATTTCTCATTTTAAAGTTATTTGCTTTTAGTCTTTTCTGAAAGCAACACTGGAAGTGTTGAACAGTCATCAATCATACCTGTATTTCCCTAGCATGGTACATCAGAATGAGTCCAAGAAGAATTGCAGTGGAAATGCTGATCAAACCTTTCAGCACATAAGAATAGATGGATTCCTGTTCACAATGGAGAGAGAATATTAACATATCAGTGGCTTTGTTTTCATGAAGCTGAAACCTTAGAAGATGACTGTATTTCTTATTCCACAAAATTGCCTTCAACAAGGCCAGCCTTGCTTGTGGTGTGCAATAGTACATATTTCACATTGAACATGTCTTTAATAGAGTGACCCAATCACATCTCATCAGTTATAGGTTACCTTAGTGTAAAAAGTTCTTGAAAGCTCTGTCTCGATGACCATGGCGATGATACCAAACATCCCACAGACCAACGCGTAGTCACTCAACTGTTTGCGCTTCCCAAATAGAGCTCTCCTCTGACCCAGCCGGTAGCTGATGTCCTTGGTCTTCTTCTGTGGTTTGTTTCCCTCTGTTGTGGTCAGGTTCTCACTGTTGGCCTTACTGGAGTTGTCTCCAATCACCTTGGAGAAGGCGTCCTCAAGAATAGCACTGTGAAGCAGCTGAAGTTGCTGCTGGTCTGAAGGAAAATCTGCAAAACTTGAGCTTAAAGTGCCCAGGCTGCTGAGTGGTCGCACTGCATCCCCGTTTTGGACACTACCACTTCCTAAGGTATCAGGAAGTGGAGGGCAGGGTTTAGGGAGTGACTGTTTGGATCCGATGAGATGCTGAGAGGGTTCCTACAAAAGAAGGTGTTATTGTTCACCAAGCATTGTATTGCCAATTGTTGCAATCAAAGACAGCATGCATAAAACTCCGAAATCATATGTGAGAAGATCTTTTTTTTTTTCAATTTAAACATTATAGAAACCCTAAATTAGCAGGAAGGACGCTGAAAAAAGACAACATACCTGACTTTCTTGCTCTCTTGTTCTCTCCACCAAATCTTGGTTTTCAAGCAAACTACACTGGCTGGTGGAGAAAGAGGTGAAACTTTTCTGACTGGCTGGTGTAGCTGATCTTTTTCCCCATGGCGTTCTAGTTAGGCGATTGTAAGGAAGATGGCGGCACTTTAGTGCAAAGGATGACTCTCCAGATGGCTTCCATGTTTGATCATCAGTTGAGAAACAGTGAGAGTCTTTCCTTTGATGCTGCTGCACCAAAAGTGGTTCTTTGCCAAAAAGGTCTCTCCAGTTGACATCTAAACTGAGTGCAGAGAGTTTTTTATTTCTTATAGCACACTGGCCTGAATTTAAAGAAATGTTGAACAATTTAGAATGAGTTGCTTGGCTGAAGTTTTCGACTTTTGGATGATTACAATGCTGTTCTTTATCACCATCTTGGCCAGAGCACTGAGGCACGATGATGTTCCTCGGGTGGTTTGTAAGAGGTTTGCGAAGATCTTTGTGATTTGTTTGCTGTGCTGAAACTTGGCAAGTGGTGGACGGGTATGTGCTTTCCAGGAAAGGCGCGGTATGAGGTGATGAAACACTTCTCTTAGTTCTGCCTCTTGGGACACTTTCTTTATTTGTTTGTGGCTGTAAACTTAAGATGTCAGAATGTTGGAGAGCATCAGGACAGGGGCAGCCACATCTGTCCATATGGTTTGGATTTTCCACAATGTCTTCCGCTCTTCCTGCTGAGGGTGGATCCTCCCCACAAAGCAGCTGCCAGTCTTGGTCACTCAGTTGCGACAGCAAAAGGTTCTGTGTTTTTGAAGGCGACCTCTGAGCCAAGCCTCTTGGAGGATTGATTCCATTCGACTTCTCATGGAGGGAAGATGAAGCACAGCAGCGACTCTTCTGAGGAGATGAAGATGCTTTGTCTGGGCTTCCAGAGAATGGATTATGCTTCTCCTCAGGACCTCCTGTAGCAGAGTGTTGATGTTCTCCATCTTGGAAGACTTCACCTGTTGAGTCAAGGCGTCTTGTTGCATTGGTGGGTTTAACCAGAATCAACCTCATGTTATCTCTGCAAGGCGGAAAAGACATGATGTCCATTTGAGTAAAAATCACATTCACTTATGATGAAACGAAAAAAATGCAAAAGATATAGAAATCTCTATGTTATAAAAATACCATAGATGTTCCCAAACTTTTTAACCATCTAATCTACAATTATTGAATATTATTGAAAGACATTCAGCACTGAGTATTGGAGTTGAGATCAGAAATCAGTGTCTACGTCCTGAGCCATAAATATGCTGAAAACCAATTAAAAAAAGATTACAAAACTTTTTAATCTAAACACCATAAACATGAGGTTGAAAATGTGTCTATAAAAGAACAGTTAAATGTTCGTAAATGTTGTTGAAAAATTGCTAAGGTTTGATAAATAAGTCAAGTTTTACTTTGAATAAATTACTGTAGACTATATTTGGAGGAGTTGAAGGGAATAAGGAAGTCATATTTTGTATTTTCAGTATAAAAACAAAGACCTGTTTTAGCCAAAAAGATGTTCGTATTTATCTGTTATTTGAAAATATTTATTATTATCAAATAATAAAAGAAAGATTAAAAAAATTTCAGAAGTTTAAAGGAAGAATTTTAAGCATTAACAGAATAAAAGTATTTTTGCGCAAGGAAGTTGTAAAGACTTTTTGTCAATGACAGATCTGCACAATGATCTTTATGCATCCAGAGGCCAAAAGTATATTCAAAGAAAGTATTATGTTTCAAGAGGCATTTGTTATAATTTTTTAATAGATTAGTGGGACCCCTTTGTGTTTTTGAATTAGTTTCAAGGCTTGTATTCATGGTTGTTAAAGTAATCATTTATTTAATTACAGGTTGTCTTTACATGAGGTTGTGAGCATGAAACAAACTGTCAAAATCAGATGTCCCCCCTGTGCCCTGTTTTCATTATTTATCAATCTTGGCAACCATAAAAACTGAGAAAAGCTTCACAGGTTTAATTTCCATGTAACACAATTCATTAGAAATTTGAATCACGACACTTTATGATCTGTAAACAGATTATAACTCTAAACACATAAGCTGTAAAATAACTGAATCAAAAATAATTCTGAAGTTAGTTATTTTTCTTTGAATTATGCTAAAACAGTGAAATAATGGCATTTTTCTTAAAATTATATGTTGAATTTTGAATTCAGTCATTACTTAAAGGCAAGCGTAGAAAGATTCACTTGTTTCTCTTAACATTTTCTCTGTAAATAAAAATTGCTTAGAATTCTCCACAGCCACAGGTGATTCTTACCTCGTTCCTGCTTTTTCTTCGATTCTATTCAAACTTGAAGAAGCAGCTTGCAAACAAATATTCGCCCCATCAACAGTTGTGATGTGTTAAGAAGAAGAGCAGCCTGAGTGGGTGTTGGATAGCCGGTTGCCTGCTCCCAGTGTGGACACTTAATGAAGGAGCTTTAAAGATGCTTTCCTTTGAAAGAAATGATTAGAATTCAAAATGAAGGAAGAAATAAGCAGCAGCTGTCTGATGAAGGGTTGCCATGCAAATGGAGGGGAGTGAGAGGGTGCAGGTCGGCGACAGTGAGGGAAAAATAAAAAAAAATCTGTAACATCAGACCACAGCGTTAAGGCGGGACATCACACGGAAATAAATTGGAGGGAGACAGGTAGACTGGGAGGGAAAACAAGGCCAATTGCTCGCATTCATAACAAAGTGGCAAATAAAAGGTCATTTGAAGATGTTATTGAAGCTTGTGGTTCAAAGGCCTTTTGCTACATCTCTTATCTCTTCCGCCACAAGAGCCTGACGCACTAAAGTGCTCATTTTTAAACCTGGCTCTGAATGAATCATGCCATCCTGCACAAGGCCTCATCACCTGTGCCTCAGAAGATCTAACAAATGCAGTTTCAGGTCCAGTATAGCAATCAGTGTTTAATGAAGCATGTTTGAAATCACCAATAAGAAAGAAGAAAAAACATTGACTCAGGTGGAGGTTATTCAACCAAATTGTTGTTGGTTTGGGGTTTTTTATGTGAGGCAGAAGCATTTCTATTTTTTTAATCAGTACGCAGCCTGTAACCCCCGATGTACATTTAAGATATGTAGAAAATGTATGTTCCCTAAATGAAACTGAACTGCTTGAAATGTTATGGTCTTGTATTTAGTTAGGATCATACAGACCTGTCTGATTTGTAAAGTCTGTGGCTTCATGTGTCAGTAACTCAGTAATTTATCAGCTGATGTATTAGATAAAACCTTTGTGCACAGCACAAAATATTACCAACAATGTAACAATATTTAACACAGTGGTTTCAAAAGATTTTCTGGGCCCCCTATGATTACAATAAAATCCCCCCCAAATAAGAAAAAATTAAATAAATCAACTGGGCTCAAGCATTGTTCAACCAGACATAAACCTATACACATATTTTGTTTTCAAACTCCACTGAAGTTTTTTTTACACTTCAGGTTGCAACAAAACACACAACAAACACTTCTGTGTAACTGTTATATTTTTTCTTCATTCATCCATAACGCTTTCCTCGCCCCCCTGCAATAGCACCCCAAGGGGCGCGCCTCACACTTTGGGAACCACAGATTTAACAATTCATATAAAATGCATTTCCAACATTTTACAACTACAAGGATATTAGGGTTTTGTATTAAACTATTTTTGATCATCTTTCAGGTCTGAATAAATAAAAAGGCAAAGAAAGGCGAGTACAAACAGCATTTGATTTCCCAGACTTTTTAAGTTTCTACAAGACAAAAACATTTGCATTTAATAAAGGTAGTGTCTTTACACTGACCGTGAACCTTTTCATATTTAGGGCTCTTAAAGTTATTTATTTATTTATTTTAACTTTGTGAAAGTCCTTCACTCCCTCATATCTCACAAACTTTACACTTCAATATACTCCCCCTTTTCTTATGATAGCCTGTCCAAAATGTGTTTCTGACAGGCCATCTCAACAAAGATCACATTTCATCTGCCTTTGCTTCACAGCACTGTCCATTCTTTAGAGAAATCAGTTTATAGTTTGTCAGTCATTGAAAGATAAGGATCTCCAGATAGTCCAATGTTTGACACTTCTAACACATTATTGAAGACAGGCCAGTGGATGAGTTAAGGAGCAGATTAAACATGCAGTACTTTGATGTTACATCTCCTAAACCTTTACCTCAAGACTGCTGACATTGGTATTAAAACCAAACAGCTGAGTAACAACATCCTTTATTGTAATTTTGGACCATATTTTACATGTATTCTCTTATTTTCTTAGAGCGTTACTGGATTTTGGTTACTTGTAGATACATTTGACTTGATTTGAGTGGGATATGAAATAACCAGCATCCCTTTTGGCAACTGCTGCTTTTCATTTAAAATACAGTGAGAATATTGAGATAGAAATGTTAGCAATCTTTGTCAGTACATATAGTTCAATAAAAGGCTTCAAAAGCTTCTGTTTTTCTGTTTTGAAAAAACTGTGGTAAATGAAATGATCAAACTGCTTGGCAAACTAAACTTCTAATGTAAAAATCTTAGCGTTATCTGATACATTTCTAAAATTCCATGGTTGGTGTGCTGTATGTATGCTGGACATAAAACTATACTATCCCTCCATTTTGAAAACAAAAGTGACCTGACTGGTTTCCTATTAGTTTGTGTAGCACAAATAAAAAACCCCACAAAATGTTGATGATTCAGCTGTGAACTTTAATAAGTTATTCCCAAAACATCTGGCTTCCCACCTTCCCAGAAGGGCTAAAAAATAAGTAATTCAATTAATGAGATGCTGAGTTTGGCTCATTGAAGGCCGTGTTCACAAACATGATAAACAGTTGTTATTTTGGAAGATGAAAAGCAGATCCTCTTACTACTAAATTAAACAAAAGAGTCAAGTCCTCTGGCACAGCATAAGGTGTTGCCGGGTGATTGCTGATGAAGCATCATCACTCACACTTTTTTTTTCAGTGAAATTATTAGTTTTTCAAATCAAAGTCTCTAATTTGCCTAAGCAAGCAGAGTTTCCAAGTGACATTGTGAAAACGATGAATTCACTTCAAGTTGTAGGAGGCAAAACGCTGGTTCAAAGGGTTCTCAGGAGATTTGGCCCACTCTTTTTTCAGCTGTTGCTTTAGCTGCGACAACCTCATGTTGGGGTTCTCCATTTTTAGTCGGGGCATGTTTGCTTCCTCAAAGGCAGTAAAAGCTGCTTTCATCCGCCGCTCTGGATGGCGGTCCAGGTCTTCCGGCCCCGTGCTGAGACACAGAAAAACAACAAGAGTCAATGATGACAAATAGCCAACAACTTGTGATGACAGCAACATCATCATGCCACACGTCTTCCACCTGAGCACAGAGATGGCCTCCTCGATTGTTCGGGCTTCCACACTTCCTTCTTCAGCTATGACTCTGTTAATATTCTCCTCCAGAGGAGTCTCCAGGTGGCTTTTCTCTGTATGGATGGAAGGGTTTGAATTTTATTTGACACAAACACATGTGGTCCAGGATCTCTAAACCAAATATTACCTTTCGGCTTCATCTCCATTTCTTGCTGCTGGTCATTTTGAAGTATCTCCTGAATTTGAGCACGAGTCACTTTTCCACCAGCTGCTGCCTCCTTCTGTGCTTTTCCTTTTATCCTGGCGTTCTCCTCATCAAGGAGCCGCTGGTTTTCCTTTTTCCTCTCAAGAAGCTCCAACCGCTTCTTCTCCTTGTCGTCCTGGAGGAAAAGAAAGTATTTCCACTTATTTTATCAACACATTAAGCTAGAACTTCTCTATTAAATATAAAGTGAAATGGTTATCCTTAAAATGTTTCCTATAAAACAATACTGTTGAGCGTCATTTGCTTATATATGGTTTGTTGATCAAGTATTCACACATGACAAACCTTTTCACCTTTTTGTCACAGTACGAACCACAAATTTCAGGTCGTTTTGTTAGAATTTGACTGGGTAGACCAACACAGTGAAAAGCATAATGGTGAAGTAGAACAAAGTAGACAGATGGTTTTCAACATTTTTCACAAATTAAGATATGAGAAGTGTGAAATGAAATGTTCCTGAGCCAAAACAATGACGAGCCATCGTCCCCAGCAAACACAGCTGCAACTCTCTCTCATCTTTGATTCTGGCTTCCCTCTTCCTGCCTTTACCACGTTTTGTAATGGAGGTTGTGTCTTCCGGTTGTTAATTTAACACTTCATATTTGGCAAGTTAACATTTTCTGCAACGGTCATTTTGCACACTATGTAAACAAATAAAAAGGGGAACAAAAGGCAGACAAGAGAAAACACAACAGTCAAAGAGCTGATTTGAATAACAAAAGACGATAGCTGTGTCCTGTGATGAATTTGGGTGTAAACTATGATTTGATATCTCTGCTCACCTTTCTCTGCTCTTTTTTAAGTACATGTTTGTCTGTTTCTTGCCAGAGAGCGTCTTCTTCTTCCTTCTTCTTACGGGCGTCTGCCACTGCCTTGGCCTCAGCCTTGCGGGCTTTGGCAGTGGCCGCTTTGGAGTTCTCACCCTGGAACTTCTTTGGCATCCTGACAGCTGCTTTTTAGCTGAAAGAGAGGAAGATGTGAGATGATGTGAAATAAGAAATAGGAAAAGTTTTCATTGAAACACTCTGCATGTAGTGAATTTCTTCTGTCAAAGTTTAGATTAAAAAATGGAAGATGTAAATGGCATATTTATGTTTATGTGCACAAGTATCACTAATTACTTGAGCCATTAGCGATATTGGAATATGAAGTTGAACCTGAGTTTTACAAAGCTTCAGTACATAATCCTACCGCAACATCAATCCAGGAAGACAAAGAGTAATTAGGTCAATAACTGCAGAGATATAGGTGAAATTAGACTGCAAATTTAAGCTTTACAAGGATTCAGATAGAGCTTAACATAATGTCAGACCATGCTGTACAGCTCTTCAGGTAGGGCTTCCTACAAGGTTCCGGGGCATATTTATGAGGATTGAACAGTTCTTTCAAAAGAGCATTTTTGATATCAGACACTGGTTGGAAGATCTAGCTTTCAGTCTTCATCCTAATTCAATCTTATGAGGTATCAGCTTGTGCCCGAGGGTGCAGTAATGTTTTCCAAACAGTTCCAACACAATCGGAAAGCAACTTTTCACTTGACAAGGTTCAGTCAGGGAAGAGCTGTTGTACTAGCGACAGCCAAACCTAGATGACATATCCACTCAATTGATTTGTAACTTCAGAAAACACGTCTCCACTGATCAAGATGTCACTTGAACTAGATGATGGGCCGTGTCGCAAGTGTGTCCAGTCTGGTATATGTAAAACGTGCTTGAAGGAATAGTTTAACTAAATCATACTACTTTTACTGGAGTAAAATTATTATGAAGTGTAATGACTCTTATTTGAGTAAAACATATGGATACTATACTCACTGTGAGCAACTTCACTGAATGACAAACAGAAATATTTTAGCCAGCATGCATGAGTCGCAGTCATACAGTTTACATTAGTGTGAATCCTCTTGTTTGTACAAAAGCTTTGTTCTGTTGTTTTCTTTCTCCTGAGCCTGTTGTATCATTTGTAAATTAAGAAGCTAAAGTGAACAGGATACATTGTCACGGAAAGTACCTTCGCTGACAGACATTCAAGCTCCTGTATGAATTAGTTTAATAACATTTTACAAAGAAAAAAAATCAATTTGGCTGCATTTGTTATTTTGTAATGTCTTCATTTTTTTCATTTTACTTTTTAAAATACCAGAACTTCCATCCTGTCTTATATTTTTTATTGCCTGGTAATTTCATTTATAAATACTTCATCAAATGTTATGTTCACTGACTCAGTACATTTTAGTAAATACTTTTTAACCCTTGAATAATTTCTTGGATGGCTACGTCTTGCTCTTACTTGAGTAAAATCATGTTGAAGCAGTTCTACTCGAGTCTAATTTTGGGGCGCTCTACCCATCTCAGGTCAGAATACTCCTAATAACTGACTGGAATAAGTTGACACAACCTATTGCACAAGTGCATCTTGAAACAGTTAAGAGTGACCCATTCTTTGATTTTTTTTTTTTTAGAAAAGCTCTGTGGCCTTTGAAATGATTGGAAGACCTTAATTCAATGATTTGAATGAGAGAGTCAACATACATAGATAATCACAATTTAAAAACGACACTCAACCACTGTTACATCGCTGTTTAAATTTTAAAAACTGCATAACGTAAATGTGGCATAGATAACAAACAGTACACAAATCCTTTTGTGGATGATGCAACGCGTGATGGAACAATGATGGCACATTCCAGCATTAACAAATGCCTGTCAAGCTTATGTAAAGGAGGATAACTGTAAACAATCTCCATGTTAGTTTATGCGCCACGGCTTCCATTAAACGACATCTACGACAGTTTACGACCGTAAAACTGCATCTATTTTTGTTTTTTTTTACTTAGGATCAAAAATAATTAACCTGATACAAATTATTTTTGTTATATTTCAAGCATGAGTAGTTTGTGATGCTCACTTAACAAATAGACTGGTTAACAAACAGACAAGCATGCAACCGATGGGTTACAAACTCATAAGTTGAAGCTCAAATATTCTAAAAAAAAAAAATACCAGCGTCGTGTTTGTCAGGAGCGACTTAGCATCAGTTAGCCGTTGTTACCCTGATGAAACAGGCTTGTTTGCTTATCAAGGAGCTCACCGCTCTTTCAGCCACTTCACTAATATGTAACTACACCAACAGTCGTCACACCACTTAGTTGTTCAAGAACAAATCGTTTTCATACCAGGATGAAAGGAAAACCAAGTCTTAGGTAAAAGACAGTTTTCTGTTTCGAAGAGGCATCCGCCACCGCCTCCTCGCGCAGCGCGCACAATGATTGCGTCATCGATGCCTTCATTTCACAAAATACAACATTGATGTTGATTTTATTTTACTGAGGAGTGATTATATATATTATATGTTTACTTATATATTTTTATGCTTAAAACGTATTAGCTTCATACGTTGTTTTTTGCCGCAAGATAACTTAATCTTTATGGTTATTTTTGATAAATGTCAACTAATGAACCAAAAACAAAACAAAACACACAAAGATACAACAATCCATTTAGCTTTTCATATTTCTTTTTGAATACATAATATAATAGACTTAGGTTGTTTTTTTTTCGATGCAAGAAACCAGACTAAAATCATTCAACATGTCATCAATAATACCAATTTAAAAAAAAAAATCAACATAAAGCCTTACACACATTTTGTTATTGGCTGATTCTCACTGAGGTGAATAGTAAAAGTAAATTTTCCTTGAATAACTTTTTGAAAATTACTTTTAAAAACACTTTTTTGTTTGTTTGTTTTTTACTTTTATTTGAGTACTATTATTAAAAGCTCTCATGTAATAATTTCCTCTGAAGAAGCCGTCACTAACATGTCAACATGTCTCACATCGTCATCAGCAGCAAGTTGACTTCTCTTTAAGTCAACTTATTGGAAGCTTGCATGACCATTTGTGCTTTCTCAAAAAGTTAAAAGGCACTCCCACTACTAATTGTATCAGCAAATATTTTGTTTCAATTGTATAAAACCTCCGTATTGCATATATATATATATATATATATATATATATATATATATATATATATATATATATATATATATATATATATTTTTTTTTTTTTTTTGTTGTTTTTGTTTTTCCTACTGTAGGTAAAAACAACTACAAAGAGGCCACAATGAAAACTAGACTATGTTTAATTATTATGGACAATGTCCCTAAGTTACATCTGTTTGAATCCACCACTTTAAGAAACTAGAAAACATTTTTCAGATAAATTATCATGCAAAGTTTTTTTTTTCTTTAGTACTGCTGAGTGTATCCAATTATTACACATTCCTTTGTAATTATTCATTTGTGTACTTTAATAGTCACAAATATTTTCCCTTAGAAAGTAAAGCGTACAATTAAAAAAAACTGCCAAAAAATGTCCAAACTGCCACATAGATAAATTATTTATAAAACAGTCACTTTTGGTGAAGAACAAAAAATAAAACTGAAGTTTTAATTTCATTTTTGTCAGTAGATTATTTAAATATCAAAGAACAGATGATATATCTGCAAATAAAATTTATAATTGAGCTTTCCAAGATGTGAGTTCAGCTAGGACATAAAAAGGTGCAGAGCTCATGATTGTGTCCCCAACTCAAAAGTCGTCATCACTTTCTTCTAGCAGGGCTGGTCTCATGCCTCCCCTAGGAGGTCGATTACTCAACAAAAGGACCTCCAAGCTTTCATCCTCCTCCCTCCTCTCTTCTTCTTCGCCTTCCTCATCTTCATCTTCGTCTTCCTCATCATCCTCTTCTGCATCAACCTCACTGTCATCAGACTGAAACAGGAAGCAAGCAGCAATAACTACATCACCAGTAAAAGGTTTAAGTCTATCTTTGATAGGACTGTGGGATGATATAACATGTCAAACTATATTTTTCCAGGATAGTTAGACCACTAGACACACACAAACACACTGTGGAACCACTAAAATAAAAAAATAAACAAAACATGTTTTTATTCTAACTAAACACAGAACCTTGGCCAGGTTTTACTCCTATATCACAAAAAACTTTGAAAAGAAAAAAAATAGCATTTGAAGGAAAAATACATTCTTACCCCAGGCTGCTGATATTAAAAATATCAGCACAATTGCTTAAAAATTAATATAAAGCTTTTTTGACAACATTTTTTTTCCACATGAGGGTTAAATAAAAAATTTAAGAATGGACGTTTCCTTCTAATACATAGGGGGGACATGAGGATTAACTGAATCCTTTTCCTGAACAAACCTTTCCTTTCCGCTGTTTTTTGGATTCAGGAACTGACCTTCTGGAGGCTGCTAAAACCCCCTTTAAAATCCAAGTGACAACGACAAGAAAATAGCAAAAGGAAACAGACTGATGAAACAGCAAACGAAGAGACAAGCTGGAAACCAAAGAAGGTGGTAAATCTGGTCAGAGTTTATAACAGAACAATCTTTAAATGAAGGTTAAAAGGAAAATCATTCACACTGAGCACTGCTGATAGTTTGGCGCCAAACAGGAAGCAATGTAGCCTGTTTTCAGAAACACTGTTTTGTATCAGCGTGAAGATAACATCACTTACGTCATCACTGTCATCACCCTGCATGTTACCAACGAACCGTGGTCCTCTTCCTTAGCAGAAAGGAAAAACCACAAGCAATTATGAATTTTCAGGACAGAAAAGTTTTCTGAAAACCATGTTCCATAAAAATATAATTTTAGGTGGATCTGTAAAATCAACAAATTATTTAAACATGTAAGAGGCTAGAGAGAACAACCGGAAGTTCCTCTACTCTTCTTGATGTTGGTGACTAAATGCTGTGCATAATGGTATCAAAAAATCCAAATGAAAAACTCTCAAAGTTTTTTTTTTTAAAAATTGGTTATCATGGGATGGGAGGAATGAGAATTAAAAATATAAATTTTGTCTAATTCTTAAAGGTACTAGTTTTTCATATCACTATCTTGGCTGCAGTCCATCTGCATACCTGCCATGGGGGCATTTCTTGAGGGCTGTGGCTTAGATGGACGAGAATCTTCAAGGTCGCTATCTGACCCTTCGTCCTCTGGAACATCCAAATCAGAATCAGAGTCTTTCACTGTCAAACACAAAGACAAAAATGTTTAGACAGAGAAAAAAAAGTTGTGTTTTAATTTTGATTTAGGCATCTGGTTTAACTCACATGAGCCCTTCATCAGATCTCTCTCCTCCTCCCTTAGTTTGTGTTGCATTATCCTCAGGCTATTTTCAGTTTCCTAATAAGTACACAAGAAACCCCGTTTTAGATGAAGAACCAGTTAAACATTTTTAAACTTGGAAACAAGACTCAAGTATTTCATGTAAAACTTAATAGTTAATATACAAGTTCCAGACAATAAAGCAACAAAAGGAATTAATGAGGAAAAGTGAAACGCAGGAAGGCAGAAAGATGCAAATACTGCATTACATATTATATATATTTAAAGGGAGGGATTATCAATAGGATTAAGCATTCTACATAGCATATCTATTCCATCCACACACCTCAAACCTTTCCTGCTCCAGCCTGTGGTACTCATCCAGTTGCGACTCCAGGTAGGTGAGGTTTCTGAATTTCTCCACAAAGACTTCATATTGCTTCTGCAGCTCTTCTTCTATCTTTTCAAATTCATCCATGAATGCTGGCCTGAAAAATTCAAACACAATTTTCAAGAGAAATGTTTCAATGGGTTTTTGTTTCACAAGACTTATTTTAAATGGAAATTGTAAATCTTAAGATGGTTAAACGTAAAAAAAGAAAAAAAAGAAAATAGAACTCACCTGACACTCTGTAAAGTCTGCAGCCTCTTCTGATGCCTCTCCAGATCCTGTTTCTTCTTCTCTATCTTGGCGTCCAGGCTTGTCTCGTCTGAGACGACATTACTAAGCATCTCTTTGATTTTTTCAACAAATTCCTGGTAAAAAAGGCAATATGGCACAATCACAGTTTAAACTATTTAAGCAAATGAAGATGAAAACCAAGAGAATTATAAAGACAAAGACTCAGAAGACTCACCAGAGTTTCTTTAATAGCAGCTCTCAGTGCCTTTTCTGTCTCATTGATCTCAAGAGGTCGAGCAATGGCAGCAGTTCTCATTTCCTGTGAGCACCAAAAAAGTGAAGACGAAAAGTGAAGACGAAATAAAAGCATTAATGATGGTTACTCATGAATTAAACTGCCTTAAATCTCTGTCTGCAGCACTGCAGAACGAGATTTAACGTTATGTCAACTTCAGAGCAACGAAGGTACTCGCAACGAGAATGACATATCTATAATGCAGGTAAAATCTCTTCTCCGATACTAAACTCGAAATAGTCAAGCTTTATTTTTTTACCAGTATGCTATTATGAAACAATAATAATCAACTTTGCCTCACCCTGAGCTCTGCCTCTTTCCCCAGTAAATCATACAGAGATGCTCCTCTGGATGTGATTTCAGATGCCAGCTGACGAGCTGCTTTGAGCTCAGAGATCTGCAGAAAAGACATGAAGAGATCAGCTGACTCACACTTAACTCTTTCTTCTTTAACAAAGTAATTAAAGACTTTCATTACTTCAGGGAAAAGAAAACATGAGAAAAGTAGACATTGTAAACAATGTGCATGAATCAACAAAAAAATGTGTGCAGGCTTGGCAAATAGGTATGTGTCAAATTGTTGTTCAGGAGGATACTGCAATCAAAGAACTAAACTAAAAGGTACATTTACACAAATATCAGATACAGCATTTTCTGCTGTTTAAATAGTTTAAAATCTCTGACACTGAAACACAACCAGTACAACAAGAAATCAACTCCATCAGCCATTAAAAGCATTGTGAAATTCTTGATAATCTTGAATAAAGTTCTTACAATAAATGTAAATGAACTACATTTTCAACCCTTTTCAAGGACTCGTTGTATTTGGATGGGTTTACATAGAAAGAACGCTGTTTACCAATTAGAAAGACAAAGTTATTTTGACTGCACATTAAAATAACTGTCATATTAACATCTAAAGCACAGTTATATGTCGTTTGTTTTTTTTTTCTTTTCTTCAATCTTCTTAAAACTGACATTTAATTAATTAAGTTAGTGGACGATCAGCAACACACATAATTTGAATGATAATTGCGCCTCACCCTAGAGCCGAGATCAAACTTGAACTTGTTGCTATCTTCTTCCACAGCATCCTCCAAAGCCATCTGCTTGGTTTTCATGGCATTGTACAGCACCGATGTGATCTTGAGCATCTCTTTCACTGCATAGCCGTCAGCCTGGTAGAGATGCTTGGTGTTTAGCTTGATGTGAGCCTTGGTTGCCTGCAACCAGGTCATACAATGATTAAAACAGAGTGGTTTTTTAGTTAACTACGGTAGAGAACATATTATCTATCGGAATAATATTTCACCATGAATTGAACCACAGCCTTAATGAAGAATATTCTGTCTGACTCTGTGTCCACATCAGTGGGAATATCAGCGTGAGGCTCGTATCTACAAAAAAGAGAAAATAATTTGAGAATCAATGATTGTTTTAGAACAGCTCTTTATTTATTAATCAGGATTAGAAGAGATACTTCTACTGGTAGATAGATACAATGAGGGATGTGAAAATACCACATGAAGCAAAGAGCTATCTGAGCAGAAGTGTTGTTATTACATGAAGCATTTCAATTTTAAAAGCTGAAGCATACCTCTTTACAAGCCATATAAGGATTTCTGCCACTAGGGTGAAGTTTGGTGTTATGAAATTTTCCATAGATATGAGGCGAGGGTAGCCCAACGCCCTCATCATTTCTGTGAAGTCTGCCAAATCACAAACAAACTCACTTATATTCTAACATCTGCAGCAAAATAAAAGATAAAAGGTGGAGAAGTACAAGGTGTCACTTACTTTTTAAATCTCTGAAGGACATGTTGACCTGAAAGAAAGAAAAAACGAAAGGAAGAAAAAAGAAAGGACTTTTTTCATTGTAATTTATCAGAATGGTTGTTTCCTGATTTATAATCCAGTACAATTGTATTTTTAGCAAGCAACATTTCACGCTTGTTTTCAGTAGTAGAATAAACGAAAGCATTAATAAATATCTAGTTTGTAGATTTAATTTCACAGCTGTTCTAGCTAAGCCTGTATAGCTACTACTTAGCTCGAAGTTAGCTGTAAGCTAACGATCTGTGTCGCTTTGAGTTGCTGAAGAGAAATTAATCTATAATGTTGCATATTTTACAACTCACTTCGCATATACTAAATATGTCCTAGGGTGTTCAAAGACATCATTTTGTTACCTGGAACCGTTACAAAGACACTTCCGTGGTCTATGCTATAAATGGTCGCTATGGAAACACATTCTGTTCTACGGAAAGTCAAAGCAGTCAAATGTTCGAAGCGAAAATTGAGAACAGTTCAATACCGCTGAGAAATGGAAATTAAAATGTAGTTCAATTTAACCAGTAAGCTTGTTTCTAATATGAAGTAACATAAATATTCCTCAAAATGTTATAAAACATTTGAAATATGTACTTTCTAATTTATAAAACAGCAACATTGATTGGTGTTCATCAGGTATTACCAGACCAAATGATGCAATCACAGAAATCTTGTTATATCGCCATTTTCCTACAAGTAACGTCTTTCAGCACTGTTTTTTTTCCTCCCATGGCACAATATCTTACTTGCACAATAATATATTGTGAAAACATCTTATACAGATGTCTTAATTAATTTTAAGCCCGTAAATTAACTTTTGTTTTAATTTGTTACAAATTATACAGATGTGTCTTTTCAAGTATTAGTTTAAGAGAGATGTGGTGTTGTGGTCTTCAGTAAACTCCTAAATAAAACAAACACTGAATATTTTTTGCCTGCTTTCTTGTCAGACTGGCTACATTTTAGTGATTTTTTTCATTCTTAAAATCAGACAGTGACACTGAAACAAAAAAGCAGTTACGTTCCTTTGTATGAATTAACTATGGGGCTCAAATTAAATTTTTCTATAGGGCTAGATTAGTTAATAATAATTTGAAAATATATTTTTAAACTGACTATGACTATACTTGTTTGGTGCAAATTGGCTTGATAATTTAAAACATTTATGACAAAACAACAGCAAGATGAGAAAATTTTCAGGGGCAAATATTTTTTGTTAAATCACAAGACTGATTCTGCCCCTGTGATGGAGAAACATATTATTTTGACTAAGCTATATTATAATAAAGATAATTTTATTGTTTTGAGAGCTAGGTAAAAAGTATGAGATAGCCATTATGAGATCCAAGTCTCTTTGTTTTCAAATATTGGCAGAAACGAGCTTCATTACAGGATGCTTCAATAAAAAAAATACTTCCAAATATAAAAAATGTAAAAGAAAAACAAACAAAAAAACGGCATGTCTATTTGTTTATTGATACAAAAATACAAGTTATAGTTTCTAATTTTGTATGGCTGCAGTACTGCTACAATCCACTAGACGGCGATACCTGCTCGAAGTTCTCCTTCCGACCAGTCCGTCGGAACTATGGGCTGTTCAACTGACGCAGAGCATGATGGAGCAAACTGGTGAGCCCCCTCACAACAATAACACCCCGGCAGGTAATGAACCGCCTGCCTGCGGCCTTCACAGCAAACGACTCAAAGAACTGGAAAATGCCGCCCTGCAGACCAGCTTGATATCACAAATGGAGACAGAATCCGGGGCGGACCCCGGGAGCTGGACGGAACAGGAGTCCGGGCAAGGTGAGCAGCCGAACGGGTTGCCCTTGAGCCAGCAGCGCTCGGCGCCTCTGCAGCTCGGCGTGGACATGGAGGCGGAAGAAGTGGAGCCGGGGACAAACGTGGCCAAGCAGCGGGTGGAAGAAGAAAGGACGCTGACGGACCATTTAAACAAACGACTCCTTTCTTCGTTTCTGGAAAAACTTAACGAAAGGGACCTGGCGCTCCCTGGCGTGCAGCGCCTGGACTGTGCTGTAGCCGAAGAGGATTCGAACAGGGCCGCGGATGATTGGTGAGGCGCCTCGGCCTGACGATTCGCAGCAGCACGGAGACGGTTGGACGATCCAGGACCAACGTGCACGGAAGCACAATCTTCACAACATTAAAGACTGACATACTAGTTTGATTTATGAACGCTTACAGCTAGAGTGTCTGTGGATATTATGTTTTGTCTGAATGCTTGAATTATTAAAAAAAAAGCAATAAATGAACACCATGTGAAACGAAGCTCCTTTGTACTTGGTGTACTCATTGTGTATCTGGCAGCCATGATGGTTTCAGCTGCTTAACATCACCAGATGTCAGTGTACTAAGAAGAAAACTCACATGCCAGCTCTTTCATAGTTTGTTTCCTTCACATACACCAAAAGTTACTTTTAAAATTACTGTAGAAACGTGACACCAAATATATTAAGGTTTACTAAAATTTATTTAAAATGCAGAAAAAAAGCTGAATAAATGTAATTTTAACAATAAAATGACTTAAGTAGTTGTTGATTGTATTTTTATTTGAGTTGTCACGGAGCATAGGTGGTGGACAAGTGGTTTCAAGGCATGGATTGTTTTACAAAAAGAAAAAAAAACACAGTTTAAAACTAAGTATTACATTTAACCACATTTATTTAGATTCACAAGGTACCTGGGAAATTGATCTAAATGTATTAAATAGTGACAAAGTAGTATATTTTTTAAGTCTTTGACACTTCTACTTTATTACAAGTAGACATGATTAAATACAGTGTTTTAACTTTTTAGAATGAGTTAAACTGTAAATTCAAGTGCTAACACATTCCTTAATTTGTTACTTTTATCGGCTTCATAATTTTGAAAGTAACACAAGCCATCGCAAACAATTTACAGTATGCAGACAATAATGAATTGCTTTGTCTAAGTGTAAGAAACCTATGGATGGATTTTGAGAATGAAGCAGAGGCTTCTATATGATGAGACAATTTTCCAAGTAACATAAACTTAAAATAGAAAATTGTTTAGATTGACAACTCTATTGAAAATTGTAGAATAATTTAAAAATAAGAGGAAGAAAACATAACAGTATTTTGAAAAATACATATTTTTCAAAATGGTAACTTCATACAAAATAAACGTAGTAGTCATTTAAGTCGCTGCTCTTTGTGTGTTTGTCAATAATAATTTTACTGTTCACTTTTCATATTTTTTGAAAACCAACCCAAACTGTTTTCAATAAAGATTTATCAACTGATCTTTTGTATTTGACCATGCTGACTCAGTGTTTACATTTGAGTGTGAAGCTGTGACCCACTTTACTTTAAATAATAATAATAAAAAAAACAGGCCTGATAACAGAGCATGAAATAAGGAAACCGTTACTAAATTACAGAAAATGTACACACAGATTTAAAACGTTATCTCTGCTTCCCGTCATTCTTGTGTTGACATGTTGCAGGTGCACATCTTTCCCGAAACAGCACATACCAGAAGGAAATTGAAATATTTCATCACATTTTACTGTACTGTATATCATCTATATTTATAGCTCTGAAAGAACAATGACTCTAACTCTGAATGTGTGTCAGGCTTTTGAAACTTCAACTGATAAGATAAAAAAAAACTTTATTGCTACTGCAGAGAAAATTTCAGTAAGACTTGCTATGAGTAATTTGGAGGTTAATGCCATTTAAAAATCACATCCTCTTTTTTCTATTAACAGTGCATCATCTCTGGGTAGGCTCCTCAAAGGTACCACCAGTGGGTTCTCTATTAATTTGTCCTCCTGAAAAACAGATTGAAATGATAAACATATCTTTCAAATACTTTACTGGTTATAATATTCTAATATTTGTAAAAACTTGACAAACAGTTCCAACAACTCTACACCAGTTTTGCCATACATTTGGTTTCTTTACCTGGTTATTTCCTATGTGAACTGCAGATATCAGTTGGGTATTCCTGCATGTATTCTGAATGAAGCAGGGAAATGCCCAGGATATTACATTGCTCTTAAAACAACAAAAAAAAAAAAAGAGAAATATTGTCAATGAATGCTTTTTAAGACATTTATCATCAATGTAAAGCATATCTATATAAGCTTCTAAAACATCCAAATTAAGTCAAGCTTATTTCACATACATATATATTTATTAGCAAAAAAAAAAACTTAGGGACATAAATAAAGAAACCATTAGATATAAATGATTACATAAATAATCAGGGAATCATTTATGACACTTCCATTCATTAGACAATTATTTCCCTTTAAAAAAAAATATATATTACTCTGCTTTCTGACGAGATCTCCTTCTCCTTTTTATTCAGGTCCCACCATAACAGCCCCTCTTTAATTTGACTCCTCTTTGTTGGCCCTGTGTGTGATAGAAACATGAGAGTTTGTTCATGTATATGTAAAATGAAAAGGAAAAAACATCCTGTTCTAGTAGCTCTGTATAAAAGCCCTTGACTTAGCATTTTGACTGATATGAGCTACATCTTCTTGTAAATATTCACACCCACTGTGTTTCACATTTTGTCAAGTCACAACTATAACTATAGTGTTGCAGTTGTGACATCTATAACATTATAGAAGCACAGTTAATACAGTGCTTTATTCAATGTACATGAATAAAGCAATGCAGCCTGACTTTGAAATTGAAGGAAGTGATACGTAGTTTTTAATATTTTACTGCAAGGAAAATCTGAAAAGTGCAGCATGCATTTGTGTTAAGCAACACTAGTGAATATTTTGTAGAACTGCCTCTCACTGCATCTTAAGGGGTGCAGTGAGACTGATTTGGTTAAGGAGGACATTTGTAACAAAGTGAGATAATTACAAATGCACACACTTCAGATTTTTATTTCTAAACAAATAATGAATACAATCTACTTCCTTTTTTTACCTGCTGATGCATTGCTTTGTTATGTTTGTTATGCTTGTCATATAAAACTTTTTCAAAATAAACAGATGTTGTCTGGTTGTAACATTACCCAAATATTTTCAAGGGATCTGAAATCATTTGCAATAAAATGTGAATCGGACAGATTTGATTCAAAATGTCCTTGAAGTTTTCACAACATTGATTTGCGTATCTCATTATCTTTTTACCTGTTGCATAGCTCACTATCATTCCCACCAGAATGACTGTGCTGGTGGCCATGGCTCCAAAATAGAGGTAAGACATGGAATAGAAGTTGAGGAGGCCACTGTTTTCAGAAAAAAACAAAAGCAACAACAAAAGAGCCAAGACATTTTATAGTTTTTCATCATAATCGCTCTACATAGTCTGTGCTTTGAAGTCATAAACCTTTCATGTGAGTAGTTAAGCTAAGATTAAAAGAAAAGATTAATGTTATATGATCAAAAATAGATCAACATCTGAAAAACTGTGTTTGCTAACCCTTGGTGTTTTGGATGAAGTGGGGTCAAGATGGAAACCTCATCCAGGTTAGAGCTGTTGTTTCTTGTGCCATTAGCAAAGCTGCAGCCGTCTGTGAAGCTGGGCAGGACACCCATGGTCTCCACACTGGGTGGGTGAAGAGTTGAACCCACAGCCAGCCACAGAGAGACACAGAATCCTGCCAATATCCCAGAGTACGCCCCCTACAATAAAGAACAAAATACCCTAATAATCGGCTGCAGTATTAACAGTGTCTAAAAATGAATTTGTTCCTTTCAGCCCAACAGCATGCTCTGATTGTTTTTTTTTTCTCTGGATAAAAGAAAACCCAATAAAACCCTGAAGGCCTGATTTCAAAAAGGCATTGGACTGAACTTCAGCAGCAAACAGAAGAACAAGTACTCTAAAATGCAGCCATCATAAAATATAATGCTTCTCTCAACAGCTATAAAAATATAAAAAAAAAATGTAAGAGGAAGTCAGTCCAACTCCAGCTGTGTACAGCTTCTGAGATCGATGTGCAGAAGGTCATGTGTACATTAACCTTGTGCAAAAACTATTAATTTTTTTTATGATGTAGTCTGAATAAGCATCATAAAAAAGTAATTCCTATGCCACAGCTGGGTTAATGAATAAGAAAACTTTCTCTCTGGGATAAATAGTGGCTAAGACAAATTGTGACATTTTCAACAAATGGACTTTAAAACACAGAGAAATGCGATTGAAAATCTTTCTGATAAAAGAGTTTGCTGTACACATAACCCTGCAGGGATTCTAGGACCCAGTTGAGCCTTCAACTGTTTGAAATTTTAATCGTCAGTAGTCTGCTAATTGCATTAGTTATTTTTTTTAAAGGTTTGAGTTAAAAAGTGTCACCTCATTCACGTCACATCTTCACAGTTTAAATTTCCAGCCATCCTGCAGTAATAGGACCACTTGGGTCCCCAAACAGTACCAATTAAATGATATGTTTTATTTTATCCCTGTACATACATCGATACCTATTCAATCTAAGCCTTTGCCTTCAAAAAAAAAAAAATTTTTTTTCATGAAATTTTATTTTTACCCACCAGTTGGCAGCAGAGTTAATGTTCAAGTGGTAGCAGTAGTTCAAGTGGTTAGCTTATTTAAATAAATAAAGATAATAATAAAAACTTTAAGTGTTTCTTTTTGTTTTGTTTTTGTTTTCTTTTGGGTTTTTTTATATTATTTTTAAAGCAAATTTTCTTCCAGGAACAAATTTGAACCCAAGTTTGAGTTTATCTGGGGCTTAAATGCACCATACATATAGAAAATCTATTTGTTTTTGCCCTTCTTCAATTGTGGTAGCAATTGTATTTTACTACCACAAAGGTCAGGGTTTGTATTTTGTAAATTATGACTTTTCAAGGGGGTTGGCAAACACTCACCAGCCTGTTTGTTCCTGGGACAAACATTCCCAAAATGAATACGCCCAGAACTGGACCACTGACCATTCCCATGACAGTGAACGAGCCCTGAGGAAAGAAGACAAACAACATTCCGGGTTCAAAACAAAATGAATTACAATCCAGGAGTGAAGATGAAAGCAATCGATTGAAACTTATTTCAAATCAGAAAATAATACAACCAATTGGTTGGATGCAAGCATCACACTCACAACTGTTTTATTTATTTACTTAATCCATCCATTCTGTGGGAACTTTTTTCCAAGGATCATTTCCAAAGGTCAATTCAATTGAAATGACTCAGGTCAATTCTTAGTAACCTTTTCTGGGAAATATGGGAGGAAACTGGAGTGCAGATGCACAAAGGAAAGATATAAACTATGCACAGGAAGTCCTTTGGAACCCAGTAGCTTATTGTTGTCTTGCATTCAAATATTTCTGTATAACATACCTGAAGAACCCCCCAGTCCAAGAAGGAGGAAAGAGCTGCTACAGTGATACATCCAGCTCCATACAGGAATGCTTTAAGAAAGAGAAGGACAAATGTTTACTCTACTAGACTTTCTTTGTCTGTTTAATAGAAGAAGTAGTTTGCAGCTTAGATAAGTCTGATCAAGTTCAACCTGAAAGGTCAACTTGAACTCATCAAGATGTTTGAAATAAAATATTTGTTTTTAATACTTTCTGTGTTAATTACAAAGTTGATATCAGGAGGCTTTACTCTCCTTGAAAAGATGTTTTGTTCCTGGTGGAATGAAAGATGACTCTCATATGAATGATCATTTTGATTTTTTTATGAATTTAATTGATTTGTTTACATATTTCTATACACTTGCACATGAACTAAATTAAATTAGCATTAGACTTCCAGCAGCTCGATTTCAGCAGGATTTTAAACCTGTCTTTGGTATGTAAGATTTTGAGACTTTTCAATCAATCTTTGCACTAATTTGAAGAAGTGGTGCCAAAATCAAACTCTGTTTCACTTGCTTAGTAAGAATTAACCTACACAGTCCTTTGGAAACAAGGACCAGCTTCTTCTGTTTCATCTGGAGCAGATAAGGTCTCAGTATATCCTCCATTGTCACTGCAGCCATGGCGTTGATACTCGTGGAGGCAGTGCTGTTAAAAACAATGCCAATCATTTCACTTCTGGATGTCATAAGAGTTAAAAAAAGTTTATGCTATATGTGTGTCACAGCAGTAATAGGAAGAGGACTTAAATAAAATTAATTGTTTCAGATTAGTCTTATTTATTAAAATATGTGTTTTTTATGTAAAAATACAAGGCCTTTAGCTTTTCTTAAATAGTTAGATTATGCACAATGTTTCATAAAGAGGTTAAAACCAACCATGTCAAACCATGACATCTGATACATTGAAAGAAAACCATGCAAGGGGCCACCCAAAATTTCAAATTGTATTACAAATATCTCCAGTTGAAAAAAAACTTCAGGGTATTTTTTACTCTCGCTCATGCTTATTTCTGTTTTATTGAAACACAAAAGTAAAGTACAAGTAGCTCAGGTTTATGGTTTAAGGAATATGTTTGCATCTGGCAGCAACACTGAGAAAAACTCATACCTGAGAGTCCCGCTGTATGCACAGGCAAGAAAAAGACCTGGGAATCCTGGATGATTACTGAATATGTCCAACACGAAGAATGGCATGTACTTTATTAGAAGAGAGCAGGAGAAGTAGAATAGAGTGTTACTGTGTTATTTTTGATAGAAACACTTCATACATTGTATAGGAAACCATGATCACCCCTGAAATTACATATATAGTTGGGAAATAAACCTATGCATGGTATCATCACCAGGAATTATATCATGAGTACAATAGAGCATAACGAACTTCAAACTTAATTTTGTATTACAAAACATGGTTGGATAAGACTGACTGGAGTGCAACCACCACTTCAGTAGTATCAGAAATTTAATTAACTTTGAAAATTGGATGAAACATTGGACTACTTTTGAGTTACTGTAAGACAAATTCATCTGCCTTTGCCCAGAGTCATCAGCATACCAGATCAGGTGCAGAAATCCTCCCAGATTTCAGCGGGTCGCAGAGGTTGTAATAAGCAAACATGACGATACCGCAGGTTGCTGCGCTGCTCACAATGAGGCACAGACCGATCTGATTTACAAACAGAGCCCTGGAAAATAAAAAGTGTTCTTTATTACAATTAATCCTGTAAATGTGTATGATTCTAAACAGTCAAGTGAGGCAAATATGGGAAAAGAAATGTCCGTTATCTAGTATTGATGATAAGTTGCAAGGTTCAAGCAGATCAACTGAAAAAACAACAAAAGCATGACAGGAAATCTACAAAAACTCATAAATTCAAAAACCTAGAGTCATGTGGCAAAACAGCGCAAAGACAAATACATAACACTATCCAATGATGGTTGTTATTATTTTGTGGTGCTGTGTATTGGATTTACTTTTTTAAAAAACATTTTACATGTAAAACAATATTTTTTGGAGGAAATAGAGTTCTGTCAGTTGAATTGAGATTTTTTCAGACACTTGAGTAACTTCAATTAATCTCTGGAATCTGTAAACTGTGTTCCACGCTTTTGTTCTGTTAACAAGATAAATTACAACTAACTTGTCCAAGTATGATGGACTAGCAACCTGTCCAGGGAGTTCTACGCTTCTTGCCTATTAATTAGCCATTAGCTATAAGCTCCAGCGTCCTCATGATCAACTGAGGACTAAGAAGCAATTAACAATGGATACATGTGAATAATTTATTAAAAACAATCACCACTTGGCTTCTTTCTCTGATTTGCAGGAAATGTAGCGCTGAACTTGTGCTTGGTTTACCCCGTACATGGACAACCAAACCATGGAACCCCCAACAGTGAGGCTCCAGAAGGTGTAACGTTTTCGTGGATCCACATCAAAACTGTGGATAAAGCACAATTTGAAACCTATAACTAAATACATTTTGGATTGAACGTTCTGTTTTTAACTTGAGGTATTAATATGAGATGGAATGTTATTTCTAATCAGTGACTTTAATCTTAATACAAAAAGATTTTTACTCATTGAAATTAAGGCGTGATCCGTTGCTGGCAATCTCCAGTACTTGTGCAGGACCGCCAACCAGAATTGTCCCTTGGATGAAAATTGCCACAAAGCCTGATAACATGATAACAATCTGGAACACGTCGGTCCAGATAACAGCCCTCATGCCGCCCTGCACACAAACATTAGAGGAGAAACACAGAGTGAGAAACCTGGAATGATGTCAAACACAGCTCTTCACATGCAGGGGGAGAACATGCTCCCCTCCGAGAAACCCCAGGCCAGGATTTGAACCCAGGACCTTCTTGCTACAAGGCAGCATTGCTAACAACTGGTCCACTGCACTGCCCAGTGAAAGAACATTCAATATAAGAAAGGTTGCAATACCCCTGCTTGCGTACGTATTTACGCCCTTTGAGAATGCCTTATTGTTCTCACCAGTGTGGTGTACATGGTGCAAATGATCCCCGTGGAAAAGAGAGACACCCAGATACTCAGTCCAGTAGCTGCAAAATCAAATGGGTTTGATCATTAATACCAAATGTTGATTTATTTAAACAACTTATCACTTTACAAATTTAACTATGGTAGAATATGCGCTACTTTTTCAAAGACAATGAAAACAACAGCAGCAGAAATAAATTCAACTGGTATGAGATGGTGATTTGTTTAGCTGTAATAACTGTCTAAGTAAATGTAGTATTTAAAATATATTTTATGACAAAAAATTGTAGCGTTTTACGCTACAGTAAAAGTAAGCAAATATTAACAAGAATTTTTCTTATTATGAAATTAATGGCTAAAAACATAAAACTTTACTGCAAAAAGTTTCTGGATTAATAAATCTTGATTTTATAAGTACTAAAATCAAGATCCATTGGAAAAAATCTTTAAAATGTTAAAAATATAATGAGATTTCTAAATAAATCAATAAGAACAATCCCTCTTTCTTTCCATGCAAAGCAAATTTCACTCTCCTACCTTGATTTAAGATCAAGGCTGGTGCATAGATGACAATCCCAGTGTAAAGCAGCTGAGAAAAAAGAAACACATTGCAAGCAAATCTTTGGGTGAAACTAAATCTGAGCATTCTCAGATATAAGCTCTTAATGTGTAACATTCTGCTCAGGAGCATTAAAATGTGAGATTGATGTCCCTACCGTTGCAAGAATAAACTGGACGCTTCCCAGCAGCTGCATCCCTCTGCCAAACCTCTTCTTTAGATACTGTGACAGGCAGATGGTTGGAGTCAGAACATCACAGGGTAACACACATGCTTCATCTTTCCTCACCTCACATATTAAGCTGTGTTTATTAGCAACAGGGGAATTTTAATCAGCTGGAATTTAATCAGAGACATCATATCTATACTGTAATTTAATACTATTTAAAACTGGAAAATCGGGATATACATTGGAGTTGTTTGAAATAATAACCCAAAATAAACTTTGATTTGGTTCATGGTCACATAATAAAGAGCGTACAAAATGTCAATTCTCTTGTCTAACATTCAGTTCTTGGTACTCTGGCCAACTTACAGCACATTCCTGTTCACTTTATTAAATTACTAGTGCAAAAAAAGTGGAGGCTCATTATGACCTGGTTGGTGCTGGTGATGCCCAGTCGAAAGAAAACTGGCAGGAACAGGTAAGCTGTCAGCAGAGAGTTGATGCTTTGTCCGAGGCACATGTAGAGGAATTTGAAGCCATAGCGAAATCCCTCTGAGGGAACACCCAAGACCTGGACAGCTGACATGAAGCTGGCACAAAGCGACAGACCAACGGGCACAGCCGGCATGCTCCGGCCTCCGGTGAAGAAGGCCTCTGCTGTTGCATCCCGTCGCTGTTTTTTCAGAGCCTGAAAAAGCCCAATCGCCATGGAAACTGACAACATGGCAGCGAAGACGGCGTAGTCAGCCAGTGCAAACCCTGGATTACTGGAAACATTTTTCTCCATTGCTGAATTTAGGTCTCTCTGTCTTTAAGTCTCTTCTGAATCCAGATGTTTAGTTAATCTGTCAGATCAACACAAAAACAGAAGCATGTCAGTAAGTTGCATTGATGGCTGAGGATCACACGCTGAACAAATCTGTTTACTTGACCTAAAATTTACCGCCAATCTGATAAGTAGGTAGTTACTGCAAGTTAGTGCTAGTTATGTTCACCAATTGCAATATGACCAAATACATGGTCATATAGACTACAGATACTGAAGCTATTTTCAGGAGAGTGGAATATAAAGTATGAATTTTGTTTAAAAATATTCAACTAAGTGTTATTATTGGTGCCTCTCAGCAATAAGGATCTGGGTTTGAATTTCAGCTGTGGCCTTTGTCTTTGTTTGAGTTTGGATGGTCTCCGTGTGCATGTGTGGATTCTCTCCAGTTACGTTTGCTTCCTTCCACTAAAACTCTGCAAACTAGGTTACCTGGTCACTTCAGTTTGCCTTTTGATGTGACTGGTTGATGAGCCGCCTGGTGTCTCCTTCCTGTTGACCACTGGAAATAGTCGCCAACCTGAAGGAATTGAATCCAAATGTAACTCATTTAAAATATGGATTACTCACTTCAACACTCGAGTTGTCTTAACATGCACTTCAGTCGTTTTTCAGGTCTTCATGGTATGAGAGAATACCAGGACAAGGATGAGTGAGAAAAAATAAAATAATAATAATATCGAGATTACTGATGAGTTTAAGTGTCTCTCAATCTGACTGAGTGAAAAATGTGAACATCAATAGTAAAAAATGTGAACATAAAAACACAATTTGGTAAGATAAATATGATATATGTTATTCCTTTACACTATCTGGCTGGGTTTAGGCAAAAGAACTGTTCCATTTGCATGATTCAGAAAATATTATTGTAAGAACATATATGTTTACTCAGGGCAACATGTCCCTGGTTCAGTTTAGACAATTTATCACAAAGATATAGTTACAATTCCAATAAGAAACTGTTACCACAAGGTTTATTCGTAAATGTATATTTTTTTACTTGTCCTCCACAGAAACTGTTTGAGAAAGGGAGAAATCCCAATGTAATTTATGACACAGAAACAAATCTTATGACAAAAAGATTCAGAAGAGCAGTAAGTAATAACAAGTTAGAAACAAAAATACCTGATTTCAAATTTCAAAAATGTATGGAAAAATTTACATTTGCAATGTTATGTAGCTTTTTGCTTTTCAAAATAAGAGTGGGAATGCTTTTAAAATTCAGCACATCATCAGAAAATGCACCTGCTCCAAGCTAATGACTTGTGATAAAACTTGAAAATGTGCAAGAAAAGAAAGAAGCAAAAAAATAATACTTTTAGCAACATTTTTTTAATTCACATTCAGATTGAGTTTGTCTATAAAAGTGTTCCCAGTTGCAAATTTAAAAAAAAATAAACAAAAAAAAAAAAACTCCAGCATACAAATTTAAACACTGCAATTTAAACACTAATGTCACTTTTTATTTATTCAGAAAGCAAAGCATTATCAAACATCTTCACCATCTGAATAACCAACGTCAAAGTTGCTTTTACTCACACTGTAGGCATAAAATAATTTTTTTAATCAATTAGGTGGCTAATTCCAATGTAATTGCTTCTAAAAGAGACAAACTCCATTTTATGAAATAATGCAATAAAGCACATTTAAGACTCACCCTATGTCAGTTCAGTCCAGCCTGTGAAGTAAGAATGTGCTGACAGCCAACTTCACCCCTCACCAGCTGGAAGATATTCATGCGCCTTCTCTGACACACTTGTGTTTGTCTGTGAGTAACGCCTCAGCACATCTTGAGACCTTCTTTAAAGGAAGACACTCAGAGGAGAGGGTCAATAAAGGTTTGAAGATTTACAATGTGCAACCAGACATAAACATCAAATGCTGATAAAGAAATCAGTGGGACCTGAGCTGGAGAGAGGGCATAATTAATCTATTTGTATATTTATGGGACAGCATAAATGATGCAAACTAAACATCAGTAAATCCACTATCTTATCTTCTTTCGAATTCTGAAGCCTTTAAATCTACACATACAGTAAGTGATCATTAACTCCTATTCAGGAAAGCTGTTGTATCCCAATCGCTCTCTCACTATCAAGTCATTCTGTTCAAAAGACCCAAATATTAATGGCAAGTACAAGGAATACTTTTCAGTTACAAGAGGCCGTGTTTATGTCCAGAGATGTGTTTTACAGTTAAAAGGGAAAAAGAGTTGATTCTAGTAAAATTTTAACAGAGATTTACAAAAAAAATGCTAAATAATGAGAAAACTGAAAATGCAGCTGCAGATGTCTGATTGACTTTTCAGGCATTCCTTTGAAGACATTCTCGTAGTAATCAATTCAACTAAAGATTAACTCACGGATGACTTCCTACAGCTCTTGCTGGGATATTAAAGATAGTTACGGCATAGTATGTGAAAGACATTTCTTGTAAGGCTTTCGACACACCCTTACACTGACACTAATTGCTGTAAAAGAGCATTTTTTTTTAGATGACTACCATGTGTATCTGTAAATTGTTTCTATTGTGGTTACACGCACTGGTTTTATTGTATATAAATAAAACTCTGTAAGAAGCTTGAACTCAAAATGTAGTTCAATCTTAAGTTTAAATAGTGTAATAAAACTCACTGTTTTTTCAGGTGCTTTGTTCATCACAAGCTTTAAACGTTTGACAGTAAACTCTTGTCTATCTTTGTCTTTTACAGCAAACCTTGACCCAAATGAGACCTTTTATAGTTTGTATAAGTTATGACAATGATTAATGATCAAAAAGGTCATTTTAGAAACAAAAATCTATTCAGTGCCTTTACTTAATTTACTTTTATTCCAATACAGTAGCAGTTTTCTACTATAGTATTCAGTGCATTTGAAGACTCTGTTCAGCTTGTGTCAGTAAACGCAGGTTGTTGTGGCCAGTAGGAAAATGCTGTTTTTTTTTTAATGAAACTATTATTTAAAAAGTTGTGAAGCCTAAAATGTGTCTTTTGACTCTTACTAACCTTTGTGGAGCAAGAAATGGGAGAGACGTTCAATGAGAAAACAACATATCTGACACCCCACATGCAATAGAGCGAACATCACACAGTGGTGTATGTTTGATACCCTAGTTATTGTTAGATTTAAAAGAAACTTTGTTTCTCTTTTTATGTGTACTCAAGTTTTCATGGTTTTTTCCCATTTTATGACTGTTCCGGTACAACAGTTTCTGTTGATGACAGCAGGAGGAAACTCTCTGTCTCGGCAAACATGAGTAGAAGTACAGACATGCAAGTCTGGGCACAAAATGCCCCAAGTGAGTTACAGCAGTACAATGGGAAAAGAGGTAAGCAAGAGGTTTGAACAAGGCCTAGCATTCATCAAGATTGTCTTTGGTCGTTGAAGTCTTGAACGCTTTTCGTATTTATCAGGTCATATTTATCCAGCATGTATTTATTGTTGATTATCTCAAACAAGGCTGACATTAACAGCAAGAAGAAGAAATCTGTCAGGAGCAAACACTTTTTCACTCAACATGCTTTCTTATCCACTGTAACATAGCATACACTCGCTTTACTTCATCAGTAAAATATATGTAGGGATGCTTGCAGTAAAATAAGATTTGAATATGAAAAATGTCTAAATGATCAAACTGCTCAGCTTCATGTTTTCCTGTCAGAACAGAAGGAATGGCCCATGTCATTGTCTTATTTTGCATTAACAGGAAACTGGTGGTTAATATGAGTTGATCAAATAACAAGGAAATCTAATATGGACATATGATTGCAGGAAAAATATGTTTCCTCATATTTTTATTACGAGGAAACAAACTCCACTAAAGGATTCCAGAAACTAATTTGCGCATAAAAAATGCAATAAGCATGAATTATACTCATAGTTCAAGCTGGATGTGAATGCAGTTCAGACCAGGTGGTTTTGGTAAAACTAGAACAGGAAGTTGCGCTGCTGAGAAGCGAAGCCACACTGGGTTGTCAGCTGGGTTTCTTTTCCTGAAATGTCAGATAAATCGATTTCTTCAAAGATGGACGTTCGCTTCCACAGAACATAAACTTCTCTCATGATCATTCCATCATCAAGAAATATTTTAAAAGAAAATATAAGAGTTCTCTTTCTGTTTCTATAATCACATAATCATGGTGTCTAATTTGCTTATTGCTGCTTTATTTGTTGTTCTATTGAGCAGCAAAAAGAGAATTTTGCTCTTTTATAATCAAGCTTTTGAATACTGCAAATTGTGAATGGAAACTGTTCATATTTGGAAGAAAGTTGACCGAAATACAATAGTTTTCATACACAGAACATTAGAATGTTTTGAAGGCTCTGAATGTTCAGATATTTTGCTGTAAATGTGTCAGGTTCTGTAGAGGCTCATTCAAAAAGAAAGGAAAGGATTCAAGAAGTTCAATTTTAGGAGAATGTGCAGCATTTTGTGGTTAAGTTGTCTAAGTACTGAACAGAATATCATTTTGTGTGAGACGGTAAAGTTTTCTTCATGTTTTGTGCCTATGAGATAAAAAAAATTAAAAAAAAACCTGACAGCGATAAAACACTGTCGACGTCTTTGGTGTGCTTGTCAAAAATCAGGAAATCAGATAGAACTTCCTGTCAACACCCTGACATGCTGACACTGACATACAGAGAGTAAGAAACGCAGAAGTTTAGAAAGGAAAGCACGAACTTACAGGAACAAACCGATGAACTGAAGAAATAAGGACATCCAATGTAAAAGGTAACAGCTTGACCAGCAACTTTAGGTTTTAATAATATGTATTATTTGGTGCTTGATGTTAGGACTATCAGGCAGTTGTTAGAAATGATGTGCTGGGTAAGGTTGACTGTTCTCAACTAATAACATTGAAAAGTTTCTGTTTTGACCTGCTGTAGCTGTGTGTGTTCAGTGAACGCTTCCCTTTAAACATTTTAATGTTTCAATATTCCCTTTACTCTGAATTCTGTGATGTACAAATGTTATTTCCTGTGTCAAATAAGTAATTTAAGAGCCAGTTCTGAAACTTGAAACAATGTGATATAAGATACCAAAGAGTTTCTGTATTTTACATACTATATTCCTCTTTATGTAGCAAAGTATGGCAATCAGTTTCACAAAAACCCAGTGGGAATTCCCAAAGGTCTTTGAACATTATTAAATGTGTGGTGAGTAATCACCTAAAAGACAGTGGGATAACAGTGTACAATACAAGCAAAGACAGCTACCATTTTGGTGTGAAGTTTCATATTGCTTCAGATTCTCAAAGTTACTCTTTTCTGTTTGCAAGACAACAGAATCAACTTTATATTCAGATTCAAACAAAGCAACTAATTGGCCCAAAATTTACAAGATTATCAGCTGATTAAGCATCTTGAGCAATAAGCCAAGCAACAGGAAGTATGAAAGCTACTAACAGACATGACTGAGAAGTCAGAGAGTCATTAAAATTAGAAATTACTGCCAACAGTGGTCTTGTTTGGCCCTAAATACAAACTTCATAAAGAATTAGAAGAACTGGATTTTCTTCCTGACGATGTCATGTGAAGAAGAAATCTGCCAAAAAGACGCTGACAATAATCCGTTACTTTCACTCCAGTTTTTTTTTTTTTCTTTGATCTAGACAAGAGCAGGTGTGTATCTTCCAAAGCATTATTGATGTGTTGATGTTGGAACTATGAGAGACATGCAGCTGCATACGTGTGATGACCTGTTGATTGCAAAACTACTTATATCCTTATTTGAAGTATTATTTAAGTAGTTGTCTGTGTGTCTTAACTGCTTTGTAATTAAAGTACAGAACTAAGAACATGTGTAATTTCTTGGAGCTGAACATGTAACGTGTACTGAGTTTATTGAGTATTCTTGACATAATCTTGTTACAAATTTTTGACACAATACAATCAATAAGGTTTGGAAAAAACATAATCGAAGCAGAAAAATACATTGCCTCTTCAACCTTATTATATCTTTAATAACAAGGCCATTAAACTGAATATTTTTAAAACTGTCCTGGCCATATGCTGTAAGCATTGCTCTATGATGACACATGTTTTAACAATAGCAACTAGGCGTTTGGTCGTTTTGAGTAAACGGGACTTTTGAGGTTTTTTAAAATGTCTTAGGGGACCAATTGATTTAAGAGATTCATTTGTCACCAAAACAAGTTATGACAGAGTGAAATGGCATATTTTGTCTCATTTAACCCTGTTTTTGGTATTCATTGCAAAACAGTTGACCAAAGTAAAACGTCAACATATCTGTCATTTAAGCACATTTGTCATCAGATTTTATTTACAATAAGACATGACTCACATACTCTGCAGGTGGACAGATATTTTGGCCCAATTTTCCTTTTTGCTACCTACTTGTCTAGTTTCACCAATAATTTCAAAGACACAAAGCAGACCACGGAAAAATGTGCCAAAAAGCTTTAAATGACTGTCAGAAAGTTCGTGAAAAAACAACAGTTTGAAAAAAATAAACTTTACTGGAAACAAAGAACAAGAAACCTAATGTGATCGTCTCAATGTCTAGCACATCACCTTACATATTAAATGGTGTTTCTTCATCCACTTTAAAGATTTTTAGTCTAGCTTTTTACATGTAATGAGGACAATGTTACATTCAAGCCTCCGTTTTATGTTTATATTAACATTTTTTTATGGAGCTGGATAGCCATTTTCGCTCACATTTAGAAAAATCACAGTTCTATTCGTCCCTAGAACAGTAACATAAGAGAAGGGGAAACATTTGCCTCAAAGTTTTTCTAATCCATAGATAGATCCATAACTTTTTGGAAGGTCAGTGCAAAGAATAACCCCACAAAGGTCTCATTTCTCATTCTTGACATTTTAGCACCACTGACTATCAAATTCTTCTTCAAATAATATTTTTGCTAATTTGTCTGAGGTTTTCTCCCCAATGGAGGAAGTGTGCATTAAAATTGGGTTCTCATATAATTCAACTGAAGCAAATATCTGAATGCAACTGTCAATTTCATTTTCAGACATGCCAATGACTTTCAGAGAGGAAGAGTCGACCCCCCTGGTGTTGAGAGACCGGGGGGGCAGCCAGAAGTCCAGTTCGAGCTTGGAAGCCGGCTTACAAGTACACATCTACTTCTTTCCTGGCACAAAGGATGCGACAGTGATTCAAATTTCATCTGGACAGATAAGTGCAGAAAATGTTTGCATCCAAGCAGGAAAGAAAAGTGGTAAGAATGAATGGATGAATAAGACTCTGAGCAGGAACTTCTTGTTGGTTTGAGGTGCTGGTTGTCCAAATAAAGTTATGTGTAAT